AGGTATAGTGGAGGAGAGTGTGACCGGCGTGCACCGGCTGTACCAGCTGAGCAAGGCGGGCAAGTTGTGTGTGCCCGCCATGAACGTCAACGATTCCGTCACCAAGACTAAGTTTGACAACCTCTATTCTTGCAGGTCAGTACATCTATACTATTATAATAAAGCGTAAACACACACTCCTTTGTTGCCTAAGATGTCAGCAATAACAGGATATTTTTGAATAACTCTTTTTTTAATAAAAAATCCTAGACTTACATTATGCTTTAGGCTATATATTTTCACGCCATTAAACTTAGGGGGTAAATATTTTGGATAAAAACACTAATGTGGGAAAGAGACCATAAGTTGATGCCAACATCAAGGAAGCAAGGTTGTCATCATGTCATTTTGACATTTGTAATTTGACAAATGTAAACAATAAAATATTTTTTTTATAATTTCTTGCGGATGATGTCGCACAGGAATAGCTAGTACATATATACACTAACACTGCACGAAACATTGTACTAGCTATCGCCCGCGACTCCGCCCGCATATGTTGAAAAAATAAAAGTATGTGTTTCTTCCATACTATCCTCTACATGTATACCATTTTATCGAAATCCGTTCAGCTGTTTAGGCTACAAACTCTAATAAATATCCATCTATCTAAACTTTCGCATTTATAATATTAGTATGATTACCCTTTATAGTTAAAACTACACTACTAACTGTTGTTTAATATAGACAAAATGGTGGACTTCTCATTTTTAACCATTCGTTAGTGTTTTTGGTTAGTTAACTTTATGAAATGCGTTTCCGAACGTAACTTGACTTTTACTTGAAACTTAGGTCAAACTAACAAAGGGGTAACGAATAAAAAAATCGATTAACATACCTGTAATTATATCTTACTTATATTATAAATGCGAAAGTTTAGATGGATGGATGTTAGAGTTTGCCGCTTAAACTACTAAACGGTTTTCAATGGAATGGTATAGATGTAGAGGATAGTCTGGAAGAACACATGGGTTACTTTTGTATTTTTTAATTCCGCGGACAGAATCGCGGGCGAAAACCGGTTTTACATATTTTTTGGTTAATTTTTTTTTAAATTTCATAATTACTAGCTGTCCTAGAACTAATGTTTGTAGATTTTCACGTAGTAATCAGTCTACTTCACAGTACCAATGTGCAATGAATGAAGTATCGGCTTAATAAAAGTAATTGTACTCGTATTAGATTTATATCTAAATTATCTAATATCGGATATTGTAGATCATCCGATAATAATATACAATTGATGGCGCTTGTTGATAACATCTACAGTAATCGATTTTAATCGATTTTTCATGTAGATCGTATAGATTGTTAATATGTCAACTTCCCATTAACAACCCAGTCCCCTAAGACAAACTAATATTCGATTTCCGCTATCGCTGATCGAAAATTCAAGAATATGGGCAACTGACAATAACATACGATAAGTCACATACTTGTCACGTATTCATTTCTATACGTTTTGAGACATTTTGACTTTTTTTACTAGCGATATCGCTAATCGAAAGTCACATTGAGGGTGAAAAGATTGTTTTTGTAAGAGACAAGAGAAAACGTCCCTAATAATAGGTGTTTGTTGTACTAATGTGATCTTTTTTCAACACACACAGACATTTTTTTTTATAACTAAGTTGGCAAACGAGCAAGCAGCCACCTGAATCCGCCAAAATGGCGAAGCGACCGCTGCCCATAGACATCCGCGATCGCAGATGCGTTACCTACCCTTATACGACGGAGGAGGAGACGCACATAAAGAGGATACTGCCCCTTCCTATGCATCTCCTCCACCGTCAAATCCACTTCCCATCCTCTCCTTATAAGAAAAGGGTGGTAAAGGGAAAGGGACTTAAATTAGGCCCCCGGCACCACACTCATCAGACTGTACACGGAATTGCTTCCATTTCACGCCTGTCTTCTGTGTGGTCGTGGTATTACTGGGGGCGTGCCGGCCCTGCAGTGCGAAGATGTTAAAGCGGGCACTACAACTGTTACATGATGGAATAAAACTACATTTCACATGTAGTTTTATTCCATCCATCTCTCAAAATTATGGCATTTTTATTAGCAACTATTTTTCGCACGCGAATCTTGCGCAAATTAAGAAAAATCTTATCAAGTATATCAGTAATCTTATATGTTCTTTAATGTAATGTTCTACATCTGTGCCAAATTTCAGCGAATTTGATTCATTAGTTTGGACTACAATCAAACAAACATACATCCATCTAAACTTGCGCATTTATAATATTAGTAAGATAAGTAATATAGATGGTTTTATCTCAGGGAGAGTATAATAGACGCATTAAAGCGTAGCACGGACCTAATGTTCGGCGGCAAGCAGTCGGTAGTGTGCGGGTACGGGGAAGTCGGCAAGGGATGCTGCCAGGCACTTAAAGCACTAGGATGCGTGGTGAGTATTACCTTTAATCAAAATAGATATACTTCTAAGGAGAAGAAATACGAATATGACAAAAAATAACATTGGTTTAGAAAAAAAAGGGTGGATGTTTCCTAAGGTCTTGATAATAATCTTATTCTGTTTTTTATATTGATGTTTTTTCGTAGGTATACGTGACAGAAATCGACCCTATCTGTGCTCTGCAAGCGGCAATGGACGGCTTTAGAGTTGTGAAGCTAACAGAGGTAATGTACTTATTTGTATTACTTTTACCTCACTATTGTACTCTGTATAACTGTACTACAGTATTCTTGTACTGTACTTTGTACTTTATTTAACTGTATCGCACTGTACTGCATTTATCGATGTTGTACTGTAAACGGCTTTGCTCTGTACTTAATAGTACAGTCGCGGAAATTCGCGTTTTACCAAAAAAAAGCCTCATTCCTTGTTACTATTCCGCATCATCTCAAACTGGTCGACTCAATTTTCAAACAGCTTTTAGTAATACGGACAGATTCCCCGACCGTACCCTTGTCTGCAGGTGATAAGGCAGGTGGACATCGTGATAACGGCGACTGGCAACAAGGGCGTGGTGACGCGCGACCACATGGAGCGCATGAAGAACGGCTGCGTCGTCTGCAACATGGGGCACAGCAACACCGAGGTGGATGTGCACGCGCTGCGCACACCGGACCTGCTGTGGGAGCGCGTGCGAAGCCAGGTGAGGACATGTGGCGTGTGACGTATCTTGAAGTGTCGGAAAGTGAATCAACGCTTCAAGACGTATCTTATCTTACCAGGACGTCTTTTGATGTGTCTTAACGTGTCAGGATGTATTTTGACGTGTCTAGATGTGTCTTGACGTGTCGGGATGTGATTTGACGTGTCTAGTTGTGTCTTAACGTGTCTTTACGTGTGAGAATGTATTTTGGCGTGTCTTGTGTCTTTACGTGTTAGCATGTGTTTTCACGTGTTTAGATGTGTCTTAACGTGTCAAGATGTGTTTTCACGTGTCTAGATGTGTCTTAACGTGTCAAGATGTGTTTTCACGTGTCTAGATGTGTCTTTACGTGTCAGGATGTGTTTTGACCTGTCCAGATGTGTCTGTACATGTCAAGACATGTCGAGACCTGCCTGGACATGTCTGGACGTGCCCGGATATGTCTTGTCATGTCTTGGTGTGACGTTACTTGTCTTGATTATCATCATAATGATCATCACTTGTCTTAATGTGCTTTGACGTGTTTTCACGTGTCCGGGTGTGTTTTGACGTGTCTACGTGTCATGACGTACCTTGATGGGACAGTAGGTGTTCAAAGATGTTTTGATTTGTCAGGACGTGTCTTGATGTATCTTGAAGTGTCTTGACTTGTATTAATGTGTCAGGACGCGTCCTGACTTTTAATTTCCCGTATGTTATTATATTATCCCGTATATTACTGTCTCGTTCCGCATATTTTTTATATTATCAAGATATTAAGATATTCATGGTAGTTAACCCCTTTCTAGTCTATACCTATATATGTATGTATATTCCCAAAAATGTTAAATAGATATGAAAATACTATAAAGAAGTCCATTTTCGTTCGCTGCCCCCCCCCCCCTTCCTAGATCTAGCCTAGATTATCGGCGTTGTTTTTAGCTTGTCGTTTGCATGTGTCAACATTTAATATTTTAATGTTTTTAAAATAATTTTTATGTTTTTAGTTTTGTTGTGTTAGTTGTGATGTTTGGTATTGTGTAGTATTTCAAATATTCCCTTTGTTAATTAAATAATATTTATTTTCTAGCCAGGTTCTCTCTCTATTTTCTGTCAATATTTCCTGTTATACAAAGACTGGCAACATAGTTTAAAGTTTTTATCGAGAATAATAGTTGAATTGATTCTTCTTGTTTTCCAGCCTTTCAATAGTTCACAACCTAACACGGGTCTACACCAAAAGGTGGGTAGCCGCATTTTGGTGTTGTTGTAGAATGTTGCCCGTGCTTTGTTTGATAACTTTGGTTGCCATAAAACGTCCACCTAGTTACATTACCCCACCAAATTACATTATCCCACCAAGTTACATATTACCCCACTAAGTTACATATTACCCCACCAAATTGCATATTACTTTACCACTTTATGCGTAAGGTTGAAGGAATAAAATAAAACAAGCCTTTCACCTCTTAAATTTCAGAATCTGTTCTTAAAAATCTAAATGATAAACCAAAAAAACTGAAAATAGACTAAAGGTGAAGTTATAATTAAAATTTTTATTATATATTTTTTTAGTAAGTCAACACCAAATTTAATATCACTTATATGCAGTGAGAAAGTAAGAACACTTAGTATTGACCACAAAATTGTTTATTTACCATTGAACTAAATCTATACTATTATAATAAAGCGTAAACACACTTCTTTGTTGCCTAAGATGTCAGCAATCACAGCATATTTTTGAATAACTCTCTTGTCAATAATAAGCCCTACACTCACGTCACGCTTTAGGCTATATATTTTCACGCCGTTAAACTTAGGGGTAAACATTTTGGATAAAAAACCTTAATATGGGAAAGAGACCATAAGTTTGCCAACATCAAGGAAGCAAGGTTGTCATCATGTCATGTCATTTTGACAAATGTGGACAGTAAAATAAAATTTATATAATTTTATGCGGATTAAGTCGCGTGGAAACAGCTAGTTGATAATAAACTATGCAAAAGCAATTTTGAATCTGTATTTTTTGGTTGTCAAATTAGCGGGGGCATTTTGATGTAGCGTAAAATTCATAGAACCAAGAGAATTAATTTGATTTTTCCTTCCAGTACAACAACACGAGTGTTGTTAAATTACTTCCATATTTAAAAAAAATAATAAAAAAAAAAGCCTTTTATTTCCAGCAACTTAATTACATACATTACAATGTTTCTTTTAAATGGCTACTTAGACATTTCAATTTTTTTTTTTAAAAACAGGGTGTACATTTTTATTATTTTTTTTTCTTTTTTTTTTAGCCCTTTACTTCCATATTATAATTATTTAACATTTTTTTCTTACTAATTCTAACAAATACTTGATTGATGAGTTTCGATTGACTTACTGTTTTTAGTCGGGTTATGTTCAGAGGATTTTAGTGTTTCGCTTGTTAAGTTGTTTTGTCAGCTGATATGTGAAAGGTGCAAAAGTAAATACGTTTCATTTTTTTAACTAAGCAAACCAAATAATAGTAAATTTGCTTTCGTTCGTCAATTACTCTCTAAAAATAAAAAAAGTAACTCTATGTGTTTTTGTAGGCTGCCTTCTACAAATATGCCAAATTCAATCGAAAACCATTCAGTCGTTTTGATGGCGAACTCTAACAAACATCCATCCATCCAAACTTTGACATTTATATTATTAGTAAGTGCAAATCTTACTAATATCATAAATGCGAAAGTTTAGATGGATGGATGTTGAGTTTGTAGCCTAAACTGCTGAACGGATTTCGATGAAAATTAGCATAGATGTAGAGGATAGTCTGGAAGAACATATAGGCTACTTATTTTTTTTTACTACCCAAGGACCGAGTAGTTAAGAAAGCTAATAATGAATAATTTGTACTGAAGCATATTTTCTTTTATACTCTACAAATAGTGGAAACAATTCAGAACTGATCTTAGATCTTTACTGTTATCGGTGATTTTATAAGATAATTATCATTATTAATTTCAATCGGAAATGACTGTATTTATATTGATTGATTTAAAAATATAAAAATAACTTTATCTATACGTAATGCATATTAAAACTGTATCTGATTTACGCATTATGATAATTATTTGCTGTTGAGACATGTTTTTTTTTTAATAAGGTTGTAATTAAGGTGGCAAACGAGCAAGCGACCTGAATCCACCGAAATGGAAAGTGACCCCTGCCCATAAACATTCGCAATTGCAGATGCGTTGCCTACCCTTTATTGACGGAGGAGACACACATAAAGAGGACATTTCCCCTTTCTATGCGTCCCCTCCACTGTCAAATCCAATTTTCCTTCCCATGCTTTCCTCTTAGGAAAAGGGTGAAAAGGGAAAGGGACCAAAATTAGGCCTCCGGCACCACATTCATCAGACGAAACGCGGAATTGCTTTCACTTCACGCCTGTTTTCTGTGTGGTCGTGGTATTACCGGGCGAGTCGGCCCATTCGTGCGAAGATGTTAAAGCGGGCTCTACCACTCTTGAAAAAACATGTTTTTAAATATTTGTCCAAGTATATACGCGTATATAAAATTGAAAAAAAAACTACACTAACATTATAAGTAGGCATATTTTGATATGTAACTAATAAATCCCTAAACTATAGGATTTATTTAAAATATATTTCCTTTAGAAAACTACATTATCTTTGACTAAGTCTGTTTTTGCTACGTTTTTTAAAATTCCTTACGAATGAAATCGCGGGCAAAGCTTACCGTTTATGAAAGTAATTTACAATAGAACTACAGTAAATATAATTAAAATTAAAAGTATTAGAAATCGATGTGCAAATCTATACTTTATATATTATAAAGAGGAAAAATTTGTGTTTTTGTATGTATTGAAAAAACTCAATAAATCCGCCACTATTGAAAAGCTATGTTATCGCTAAGTAAATAGGCTATTTCTATTTACTATTTTTAATTTCACTCGAAGTCGCTAGCAACAGCTAGTATCCATATAAAATGACAAAATTGCGTCGGAATACGCCAAATGGAGGTCCATACTGCCTACCCCTCTAAGTTAGCGTAGTTTTTGAAGAATAAAGTGTTTGTTCTTTTTTTTTGTGGTATACTCGTCTACCCTACAATATGTTGTCTCCAGGTGGACCACATAATCTGGCCTAACGGCAAGCGTATAGTGCTGCTAGCCGAGGGCAGATTGGCCAACTTGTGCTGTTCTTCGTTACCGTCCTTCGTGGTATCGGTGACGGCGGCAACACAGGCACTAGCCCTTATAGAGTTGTACAATGCGCCGCAACATAGGTATAAGGTGGGTAGTTTGAAGATTTCTTTCAGGTTTACATATTTTGGCGAGTTGTAATGTGATGAATGAAAGAACGAACGAAATATTTTTAATTGAACATGAATGAACGAGTTGTTTGTTTGCCAACGAATGAATGGATAAATCATACTTAATATTATAAATGCGAAAGTTTGGATGGATGGATGTTAGAGTTTGTAGCCTAACGGCTGAACGGATCTGGATCAAATTTGACAGATGTAGAGGATAGTCTGGAAGAACACATAGACTACTAGCATTTGTTTTTTTTTTATTACACGCGGACGGAGTTGCGTGCGAAAGCTAGTGAATACATATAAGAACAGAGGTATAATCGTTTTATTGAACGATTGAATGAGTACATGAAAACACATGATCGATTTATTAATTAAATGAAAGAATTAAAGCATAAACAAATTTATGAACGACATATCGATAAATAGATGAAAGAATGACTGAATGATATTACGGTCTATTATCTATACTAATATTATAAAGAGGAAAGATTTGTATTTTTATATGTATTGAAATAACTCAAAAACTACTGCACCGATTTTAAAAATTCTTTCACCGTTAGAAAGGTAATTTATCTGTGAGTAACACAGGCTATTTTTTAATTTCACGCTAGCGAAGTCGCGAGCAACAGCTAGTATCTATTATTTTCCCGAAGGACGTCTATATTGATCACTTTTACAGGCGGACGTATACTTGTTGCCGAAGAAAATGGACGAATACGTAGCGAGTCTGCATTTACCGACCTTTGACGCACATTTGACGGAGCTGACGGACGAGCAGGCGAAGTACTTAGGGCTGAATAAGGTGGGACCCTTCAAGCCCAACTACTACAGGTACTAGCAGAGATGTACGCGCTATAAACGCCGAGCGAAGAAATAGGGCATTGTAATTGATAATTGGGGATTGTAATTTATTGTTTGTTTTGTCAAGATTGTGGATGGATGGATGGAGGTAATGAAGTTATGGATTGAGTGTATATGTGTTTGTGAATTCAGATATGATTGGTAGATATGTATGAGAGATTTTTAATAGTCAAAGTCAAGACAATTTTGTCAATACTTGAACAGTACTAATCTGCAATTTTAACGCAGTGCCCTTTTTTTTTGCCGCTAAGTGTACACGCAGGTGTGAAATTAAATAAAAAAAAGTATTTTAAAAATCAGTTCCTTACGAATTGACGCCATGGAATCGATTAAATATTAAGACTGTCGATAATAGTGATGTGTTTAGTTGCAGTAGATTACGATGATCGATATTTGTTGAAATCGATTGGTTTTCCAGATTAGATATAAATTTACCCAAATTAGTTGACCATAAAACATAAATTATATAAATGTAATTATTAAAAATTTATTTGTGTATAAATAACATATAATATTTTTATTTATAATATATCTTTAAATAACTGTAATATGTAATCTTATATAATTTATAACACGGTTAAAACTCACATAGGAACTTTCAGTGTAGGCACCGAACAGTTTCAGACCCGTCGGGGGTCCATCTTCTAGTGACCGTCGCGACGCGATAGCGAATGAAGCCGCTAACCTGAAGGACCTCCGACGGGTCTAAATCTGGTCGGTGTCTACACCGAAAGGTTCCACGAGAGTTTTAGTCGTGTTATAAATTGTAATAAGTTAATATTAGGGTTGTAACGGAGGCCATTTTAACGGAAGCGGATGCGGAGGCGAAGGGCTTCACTGCAGAAGCGGAGGTCAATAATAAAATATTAACTGTGATTTATTAAAGAAATTAATAGTAAAACTACGTTAATCAAAATACAGATTGGTACAAGATACAGTTTATTATGCATATATAATGTATAAAAATTAAAGTTAGTTGACATAGTACGCCTGCGCGACCCGCATTAACGATAATCGACCCATTCGAGTTAAAGATATAAATTAACCTCCGTTATAACTCCGCATAAGAAATAACGGAAGCGGAAGCGGATGCGGAGTCAATATTTCTTGCGGAAGTTCCGCACTTGCGGAAGCGGAAGCGGAGTTCCGTCACAACCCTAGTTAATATGTAGTATTAATTTAATATACAGATTTGGTTATCATATATTTATTTCTGTTATCTGATTTAACAAATTCTCTACAAAAATATCGCTCAGATCTTTGCTTATCGCAAGCAATTTTAAATTCCTTAATATTTAATTATATTGGTTTATACTATTTCTATTTTAACTGTACTTAAATATTCCAAATGATATTAAATTCAGACTTCAAAAATTATCGATAGATTTTCCCATCACTATTATAACCATGTATTTACTTATATTGCTACATAATGTATAAAATATTTATTTATAAGATGTATATGTATTTATATTACAGTATTTAATTTGTTATATAAAAAATATTGACTATAAATTACATTATAGTTTGTCTATAAGGATGGATTAGTTTGACAATTCATTTGACAATTTAGTAGGGATGGGTTGTGTAAAATCAGGTGTGAATCTTTTACTCTCAAAGAAGTTGGAATCGATTTTTTTTATAACATAAGGTGGCAAACGAGCAAGCGGCCACCTGAATCCGCCAAAATAACGAAGAGACCGCTGCCCATAGACATCCGCAATTGCAGATGCGTTGCCTACCCTTATACGACGGAGGAGACGCACATAAAGATATTTCCCCTTCCTATGCATCTCCACCGTCAAATCCTCTTTCCTTCCCATCCTCTTATAAGAAAAAGGTGGTAAAGAGAAAGGGATTTAAATTAGGCCTCCGGCCTACATTCATCAGATGAAACATGGAATTGCTTCCATTTCACGCCTGTCTTGTGTGGTCGTGGTACTACACCGGGCGTGCCCTGCAGTGCTAAGATGTTAAAGCGGGCACTTTCACTAGATCGATAGATTCATAGTTATAATTTATAGATTAAAATAAAAAAAAAACACTGTTTTCTCAATTTAATAATGACCTACAGAACCAATACAAAGACTGAGAGATAATATTACTACTACAGTCTTACATAATCGAATTTGATTTCTTTTCTACACTATGTTCTTTATTAGAGTTGTTCCCTGAATTAGTTAATAAGTAAATAATTTTAGTTTAGTTCGATAATTATTTAAACCGAATATCGATAGTTCATAATTGTTCGCTGCGTGTTTCGTCACTAATACCTGACAATTAACGGCATTTGCCTTCATACAAATTGAATTCTATACTTCACACGCGTCATTTATCAAACTAATCAATCTTTAGACAAACTATAATAGAATTTGTTACATTTAGTTAAAAAACTAGTATAAGTTAACTTTAGTATTTAAAATGCATTTGCACAATAAGTTTTTTTTTTAATTTTCTTTTTATTATTAACGCGTACGGAATAGAAATATTTACGGATCTGACGGTAATGTTCGTATTTAATATATTTGTTTTGGAATGTTGTGTTTGTATATTCCACTGCTTTTGTTGTTATGTTGTGAACGAAGAGATTCAATAATATAGAGGAGGCATAATTGAACTATTCGCGCGGACAGTGGCAACACCGGAAAACGTCAGAACAAAAAGTAACGGCGATGAAGAGGTATTACTACGCGCATACATTTATTATAAACTCTGTTATATTACCGAATAAACTACATAAACCAAACAATTGGTCCTTCGAGCCGGATTTGAACCAGCGACCTCTGGATACTTCACTAGCGATATTTTTCACATAATCTCAGTATGTTTATTTTGTAACAATGTTTAGTTTATTTTATAACAAAACACGAAGTTTATTATCCATACTAATATTATAAAGAGGGAAGATTTGTATTTTTGCATGTATTGAAATAACTTAAAAAATACAGGGCCGATTTCAAAAATTCTTTCACCATTTAAAAGCTACGTTATCAGTGCGAAACATAGGCTATGTTTTTTTTTTTAAATTTCACGCGGTCGAAGTCGCGAGCAACAGCTAGTTATTTTATAAAATGTTTTACATGTCAATACAAGGACATAATATATCATAAGGTAGTCCAAATTTACCAATTAATATAGTTCAGAGGAAGAACCGGTGAAATTTTGCCTCGTCTATATCTTCAAATGTCTTTGGATGTGAACGGTGATGTAAGAATAGACAATGTTTACAGACACACTCGATTACTAAACGGTTACGTCACACTTAGTGTAGCTTTAGTGTGAGCAATTTATAAATGATTTCCAGTAACCATTAAGACTGTACAAAATAAAAAGCTTTTGCAGCAATTTTATTGTCATATGAAAATTGTTGAATTCTGTCAGTCGAATTCAGTACAAGTGAGAAATTATAAAAAAACCTATCTAATAATTTCATAACACTGTAATTACAGACTTATTGAAAACAATTGATCGAACAATTCAAAACACGGAAACTTATGAACGTAAAACTAACTTCTTAGAGTGCGTACACCTTTGACCAAACTATCGCAAAACTAAATTGTTTAAACTATCGTGAGACATTATTTTAAGCGTAAATTAATTAAAAACGGCAAAAAGTTAAATAATACTCGCTCTAAAGAAGGATCCCCGAAGGGTCCGAAACTAGTCGGTGCCGTCACCGGAGGATAAAAGCGTGAGTTGAGCCGTTCTTAATTAATTTTAGCTTATCGTAAAACTGTTTAGTCTCGCTTTGTCTATTTACTTTTATGGAGATGCGCATACTCGATTTTTAGTTGTGCAACTAAACAGTTGGGCGGCGAAACAATCGACAATCGCACAACAGTGGTGCGATAGTTTTGTCAAAGGTGTACCTCTTATTAATATTATAAATGTCAAAGTTTGGATGCATGTATGGATGTATGTTAGAGTTTGTAGCCTAAACTGTTGAACGGTGTTGATTAAATTTGGTACAGATGTAGAAAGTCTGGAAGAACACATAGCTACTTACTTTTGTTTATTTAATTCCTCGCGAACGGAGTCGAGAGTCAAAGCTAGTTTGTAATTTCTCATTTCCATTGAATTCGGCTAATCTTAAGGGATATATAAATGTGTTTGTATGTCTGCATGTATTGTAACAATTTTTTATAGCGTTTGAAATTATATTGCTTTCTCTATTCTTACTCGACAGATACGAAAAAGCATTATATGATTTTTATGTTCAAAATATGTGTGTAGTTGTATTAGTACTATACGTGCACAATAACATGATATGACGAAATAACATATATTAAAGAATCACAAGTATGGCAAAATGGGGTATAGCATGCCAGGTACTGGCATAACGCGTTCACACGTGACAGTAAAATGTCAACAGAAGTGTCAAACTCCTTACTTGGACTAGTCACAAAATTAAATACATTGCACTTGTATGCTTGTTGCTGGAAATTGCCAGTAGCTGTTCGAGTTGCTTGCATGTTTTCGGTCTTACATTTGTGTGTCATGTTATTGTGGTCGTATAGTACTGCACGTTTTGTAGCCAGCTAGCAAATTGAATGCATTAGTTAATTGTTTGTGTTTGTAATAAGGTTGTTTTTAACAAATAATGACAAAATTTTGTCTTCAATGTTTCTACAAAAATTTCATGGAGAAATGTTACCAGTATTGTACCGCGTAGTTACCAAGTTACCAATTATAATTATACTATTTTTTTAATGTTATTGTTTTCGAATTTATTTTATGTTGAATTTTTGAAATGTATATTTTTGAAGTTGGTTTTTGAATTTTCATTATTTTTATGTTTCGTTATTTATTTTTGTAATAATTTGATTAATTCATTATTTTTTTAGATAACTTTTTTTAACATATACATGTATTACGAACCATTATACATATTGGATAGTGTACGTCCAATTTCCACGTCTATTTTTTTATAGCTTCTACAGACATCTGCCTATAGTTTGATTGTGTCGGGGTATCCATACAAAATCATATAAAATACATTGTAAAATGTAAACCTCCATACATTTTCATACTTATTAAACATCCAACTAAATTGTCAACCGATAGTGAGCAAGAGCACTTAGGGCCAGTCCCACCATTAGCTGATAGAGGCTCAGATAGCTTAAAAATGACATCACTCATAAGGTAACAAAATCCGATATTTCCATAACATATTTTACACGTTAGATTGTTATAAGACAATTTATAATTTGGTGGGACTGGTCCTTAGACTGGTAAATATTAAACCTAATACAGTATAGTAAAATAAATTTTGTATGAGTAAAAGTCTCAATATATGTTATTTACTTCGTAAAGTATGCTTTGTAATATTTGTAGCTCTTCATTCCGTTATATTTTAAATATCCAATTTATTGCTTTTATGATAAAATGTATTGGTTTTTTAATGTTCTCACATACAATAAATTAGTGAAAGTATGTTTTATTTATTATTATTATGCCAAAAACAGTTTATTAATTGCCACATTATGCCTGTACAAAATATTGTAAGATTTGTGTCTATAGGCTTTTTAAGTTTCGTCCCACCTGTAGTGTGCCAGGAGTCTAAAATAAAATTGTAAAGCCTAACCGTATGTAAGTAGTGAGTTTAAGGATGTTGCCATGGTTTTTTAAATAAATAAATCAGAAAAATGTTCGTTTTATTTAACACTAGCTTTCTAACTCAGTCCGCGTGGATAAAAAAAGTAACCTATGTGTTCTTCCAGACCATCCTCTACATCTATACCAAATTTAATCGAAATCCGTTCAGCCGTTTAGGCAACAAACTCTAACAAACATCCATCTATCTAAACTTTCGCATTTATAATATTAGTATGATTTACTCGCTCCAATACCAATAAAGAAATGTATCAAGTCATCTCCGTGTAGTCGCGGATATCCGTGATTCGTACGAGTGCCACTTCAGGAAAAATTGCCTTGATTTAAAAAAATCTGTACTTTTGTGGAAACTGGCGGTTTTCCACTTTAAAAACTACAATCGTTTGAACATTTCGAGACGAGATGCGGAATAAAAATCAATTCAATGCAACTTACTAAAAGTGTTCGAAAAAAAGTCTGTTAGTGATACACGGCTTGTTTTGATTACTATCCCTTTGTTAGCACTCCTGCTATCTAATAAGTTATTTGTAGGAGGCGGACTTTGTCTCGTTCCAATGACGGCAATTTTTCCTCAAGTGGAACACCGCGGATTAACGCAATTGTACTCGCGTCATATTATGAGAGTAAATGTACTAATCGTTTTGCGTTTTAAAGAAATAAAGAGTCTTCAAAGCTGTGTTTGGTTATTTTAATTAAAAGATAAATATAAACTGTGATTTACACATTCTAATTTTCTGTACCTCCTTGACGAATTTTGATAAAATAAAAAATCAATTTTACGCTTTAAAAACATAATAAAAAAATTCAATTTTATATAA